ATGAAAATGCAAGGATAGAATCCCCTCCCTCCAGAAATGTACTAGATTATCTTCTGGAAGGCATAGCTCACAGGCTGTTAGAGATTCGCACACGTAGCTCAGAATCCATTTCTTAAATACAAATTAATTCTTAGGTTACATTTATAGGAAGAGATTTCAGTTGTTTTTTTACCCTCTCTCTAGGTGGGGAGGAGTTCACACAAATTTAGATCTTCCTTCTCCATGCCCCCATTTCTCTCCCAATCATTGATCCTCTAGTTATTTAGGGAATAATATGACCTTCTTCTTGACTATTAATTTTCCTCATCTCAGTAACCCTAGTAAGATTAGATTGTCACCTCCAGGTGTGTCAACTGAAAAGAAAATGTTTTGGTTATCATAGGCAGGATCAGCACCATTGCTAGTAACAATTGTTCTCAACATAATATCTGTGGAGTATGTCTGCTGTAGTGATATACTTTGAGTATTTGATTTTCAGTAACCTTACAGATGTCTTGATCATATCCATTTCTAGCCATTGTTGCTTACAGTAGATTATGAATAAAATGACTTTGCAATATTGCCAAATAATTTTGATCAAACCATTTCTGTTTCAGTTATGCTTCTCATTCATGCATATCAAGAATGAGCCTAAAGTAAGTGGATGCATTTTATTATGAGTGTTTCCCCATAATTTGAAAATAATCCACATGATTAGGCAGCATTGTCAGCTGAGAGAAAGCAGTGCAAAAATGAGACAGGCAAATGAGACAATCTGCAGGGATAAAGAGTCGTATTGCTCCGTTTGGAGCCATATGTAGAAGGAACCTCTCTATGCAGATAGGAATAATATCTAGAAAACAATTATCGATTATATGCCCCTAAAATGAAAAAAAGAAAAAAAGGTTAGAACTACATTTACTTTAAGGTGCACATCATAGTTGGAAACTATTTCATATCATACTCCTCTTCAGTGTTTTCAGAATTAAATGTTACTGTGTTCCAACTTCATTGAGAAGAGCAATAGGACATCAAGATATAGAGAATACTATAGAAAATTGAATTATATCTTGCTATATAAAATAAAACAGAACAATATCTGTTCGTAGCTCTTCTCAACTATTTTTATTGATGACATCTTGTAACTAACATGGAGGTAATAGGGAATGCAGTAAATTCAAAATTATTATCTATGCAAAATTTCTGTATTTTTTTTACATGAAGTGATATTTCAGAGCTGAATTCAGCCAGCCAGTACAGTAAACTCCAAAAACATTTCTTATTATTGCTTCTTTTAATTTATCTCTGGGAGGTAAATATTTTCTTCTGTTATTTAACTTCTTGTGAGAAGTTAAATAACTATAGAATGTGTTAATAATGCTCTAAATTCAGTTTGACTGAGTTAAAAGGTTTCTGTTGGGGTGTTTCTCCCTTGCCATTGCCTGTTTCTTTTCCAGTTTGATAATTTTCCACTTGTTTTAAGGTAAGTATTTTATCATTTCATTGCAGAATGCAAAATATAGGTACAACTTCCCTTGTATTTTTTTTGATGAACACAAGTTAGACTAAAACTCTTTCAATAGATTTTGTATTTTTTTTGATGAACACAAATAATAAGTTAGACTAAAACTCTTTCAATAGATAATCTTTGTAGTATAAGCCTATGCAATATGTATTGAAAGGTGAAATACAGCAGGCTAAAAAGAAAATAATTTCTTCTTAGAAAACATGCAGGGACTAAATGCAACGGCAGAATTGATCTTTGAATCGTAAGTACCATAAGCAAAGTTACCATATTAAAAGCTCCATCTGATCAAGTTGAGAAAATACTAGTGAGCATTACTTGCTCCATAGTGAAGATAAAAACAAACATCCCATTATGAATCAAGAGACAAATATACTAAAAGCAAGAAATCAAAAACTGTGAAATGTACAGGCTTCGTCTTGTCAATGGATAGAGGATATTGGAAGAAAAAAAGAAACCTTGAAAGAAGGTTGAAAGAAATCTTGGAAGAAAAATCAGAAAGGAAGTTCAAAACTGAGACTATTCAAGAATGTTTCCCCTTTTCTCTTTCCATTAACCTAGAAAATAGAGAGGAAATAGCTGGTGTAGAATGGAAGACAAATCTTAAAAGGTACAATTATTTTACCAAGGTATCCTTACAAAAACTCCTGTTTGTCCTTATCAAACCAACAATTCCAGAGTTTCTTTTACTATACCGAATTTTAATGCCTTAGCTAAAGATGTTAAATGCATACATAAACAGTTAGATATAATGTTTCTGGGAGATCAAATCTGACTTTTGGATAATCATATCAATGACATCTAGTATTATGTAATCAGTGGTGTGAAATGAGATGGAAAATTAAGTTGTTTGTGTGTCTTAAACACTACCTTCTAAAACTCAGGTTTGCCTTATGGATTGCCAGATTACTTTAAATATGGTTATTTAAGAAAGGCCAATAACATCCTTTTTGTCAAACCTTCAGTTTTTTCAAATAGCTTGCTTTCTTCATCTAAGAGGCAGATTAGCCACGAAGCTTATTTCTACTATTTACAACCTAGACTCTTTATCTGGGTTTTCATTATCTCAGCAAACTTTCCTCTCACTATGAGCTACATCATAGGAACAGATTTTCCGCTGGACAAATTAACTGTGATACTGCCATTAGTTTCCTCCCATCCTGTGCATCGGTTGTACATATTGATAAGACATCAGTTATAAACTGTATGTTGTATCTTTTTCACCTGAGAAGCTTGTAGTATACAAAAGTGACATGGAAGTTTCATGAAGCAGAAGATTTTGCCGATTATAATACAGTTGGGTTGACCAGTTACCACTGAAAAACATTGACAAGCTTTTGAACACGTTTTCTTTGTATCTGAAACAGAAAAAGCACATTTCAAGGGCAAAGAACAGCTGAGAAAAATTGCTCAGAGTATCAGAAATATCACATCTTTGAGAAGAAAGATAACTGGTAGATACAGTTAGAGGAGATATTAGTGAAGACTGGGAGAAAAGAAATGAGAAATTCTACTGTATGTGTTTTGAGCAAAATAGTTGCAAATCCTGATTTAGCAGTCTAACATGAATATGCATCCATCAGGGATATTTTCCCGTGGAAAAAGTTTGTATTTTTGAAAGAGTTGTCAAAAACCAATGTAAGGAATGGATTCTTTAAAAAAAAAAAACATAATCTGATAAAGGTGTTTTTCCTTGTGAAACACCCTCTCCCCCCAGTTTAAAAAAAAAAGCCCACACATTACTAATTGTATCTCTCTTTTTCATATCTTAAAGCTTCCCCCAGACACAGGTAGCTGTTGTAGGTTTTGGCTTCGATTTTCTGAAACTAGAACATTCAATAAAAAAAAAAGCAATCTAATAATCTTATGAACTACAAATTAAAAGTTAAAAAGAAAAATGTTGAACTACATCTTATTGTCCTGTTGACAGAGAATAGGAAAGAAATGCTGCTTCTTGGTCCTGATTTTTTGACCACCTGGCCATTGTCTTACCCAATACAGGTTTCACACTGTAATGAACAATTTGGCCTGTCTTAGGCTCATCACCAGAAGTTTGTAGGTGCTATATTGTTGTCTTCTGTTCTCAGTGACTTTGGGGGCAGACTTCTTTTGCCACCTCACAAGTATTGTCCGTAGCATGCTGAATGTCCTCAAGAAATACAAACCCCATCAATTTAGGAATTTAAATGTCTTCTGATTCTTGTTTTGTAAAGATCTTCATACATGGTTGCTTTGTATAGTCATTTTTGAACTTTCTCAAGAACTGACCCTGGGATATTTACCCTAAAAGCATCTGATAAAGGCGTTTTTCCTTGTGAAACAAAAAGCCAATGAGCGATAATTACAGAGAAGCCATCATATATGTTATTGTGAAAACAGGAAATGTGAGTTTCATTTGTTCCTTCCTCTACACGGTTCATTACAGGGACTTGATTTCATTCACATAGGTGAATAGGTATTACGCAATTGTTGCAATCAGTGCATATGAGACTATGTAAGTATGTAATTGGTGAGATGCTGAAAGCAAATGTAAAGGACTTACTTTCGATTATCTGTTCCAACTAATTTTCATTTATCATGGATGGATCAGTTTCAACATGAAAGATTGAAGCAGTCAAGTCAGTAGCTAAGATGCGCAAGACCAAGATTCAGATCTGCTCAGAGTCAAGCAGAGAGGAAAATGAATCGTGGCTGCAGAGAATGTATGTCTGCTACTTGATGACTTTGGGAATTCCCCAAGAAGTGTAAGGCCCAACTTCAATTTTGGCTGCTTGATTTCAAATTTTTCTTCTACAATTCACATGAGAATGTGATTACTGGCCCTAAATTAAGGGCCGGGGTTTTGTTTGCTTAACCTGACAATTTTTTTTAGATTATTTGGACCTTTAGCTTGATCTATGTGACAAAGCTTGTTAGATTTGAAGGAGCAGGCATCTACTCAATTACAAAATATAATCCTACAGGAAAACTAGGGTAGCAGCTAAGGAGTGTTTTAAAGATGGAAGTGGATACCTAAAGATATGAACTGATCTCCAACAGATTTTGAGAATCATATTGTGTTCAGAGAAGGTGCTTTGCTATTGAATCTCTTTTTTCTCTTATTTGTTCTTTTCAGTGTCCAAGTGAAGATCTAAAGATCAGATTTTTCCAAAATAAACATAATGTTATTCTTAAAGTGGCTGGTTTAATTCCGGTGGGTAACATACAAAGTAAGGTGTATAAGCAATAATATCAGAATCTAGTACTGACTTATCAAAAAATGAAAATATATGGGAACATATTAGTTTTCATTCTTTTCTTCAGGTCTAATATTTCTGGATTTCAGTATCTGGCCATAAACCATATTTGAAACTTAATGATACTCTGCAGTGATACAAAATGAATTTTTATTTACTAAATGTACCTGTGTAGATGGCATGAGTTATCTGTTGGCCTGATTGCTTTGTATTATTATTGAAAAATTGCATTTATTTGTTTGTTTATTTTGTATTTTCAGGTAGAGATTGAAAAGCTGGACTATCATTACTATCTGCCTTTGTTTTTTGATGGGCTTTGTGAAATGACATTTCCATATGACTTTTTTGCTCGTCAAGGAATCCATGACATGCTGGAACATGGTGGAAACAAGATTCTTCCTGTCATTCCTGAGCTCATTATCCCAATAAAAAGTAAGTGAACATGTGGAAAAAAAAATCCCTAATATTACATTTATATAGTGTAGATTTTTGATAAGTTGCTAATTAAGCAATAAAACATGACAGACTGTACATTTCATGCAGATTATTGCAAATGTGAGTAAATTGGAAGATAGAAGGCCAGAAGGCTTGTGCCTTCAATCACCTAGTGCGTGCAATAATTCAGAAGAATAGATTGTCTGGTTAGTGTTTTTCCTATTAGAATGTGGCTCTTGGTCTTTGGAAATGTGAAGTGACATTTTCTTACCTGATTTTGTATTTTTATTATGTAAATCCATTACTGTATAAACCACTAAAATCACCTAAAATGACAGGAGAAATTAACATATGAAATTTAGGGAATTATGTTTCTTTTTGTCCTTTTGTTTATTATACAGTTGTCTTTATTCACTGGGTATCTTTTCTATCATCATTCTCATTACTTTGCATATACATATGTCTATGTAAACTAGGAGTTCTGCCTGACTAATTAATGTTGTATGTAAATTTTTTCCGTTTAAAAAATATTAATTTTGAAGTTTTTATATATTCAAATATAGGGTTTTTTTGTAGAAAATGTATGTGAAAGGTAATAAATAATTTTAATATAAGTGTAATATCACTAAAACTAAAACTTCCTTTCTTGAAACATCTAGTCTGTCAGATATAGTATATTGCCCTTCCTGTTTCTTTAGACCAGTACCTTGAGGAGATGCTATTCTGAACCATCATCCTTCTTTAGTTAAGTATTATGATTCTTAAGTCAGCATACTATACCTGTACTCATAGATGCTCATATTTGTTAAACTTGCATTCTGTTTTATTCTTGATCAGTACTGGTATCATTGCTGTCCTTTTTCCTATTTTCCTGAGACGATTCAGCATCCATGCTGATACAGAACAAAATGGAGTCATTGTATTTGTGATGCCGAATGAATAGAGTCAAATACAGTTTTGGAAAATGGGAAAGGGAATATAGTTTGGAGCCTGATAATACTGAAATAATAGTGTTGGAAGGGTCAGAATTGTGTTTTTTCATTCAATTTATTCTCTATTTGAGAAGATTAATTATAAATGTCATTATCTCTATCTTACTATAGATTTTGAAAATGTCAAAAGGAATATGTAATTTTTAGAATGGTTACTCTGTAAGTTACGCTTGTGAAAGATTATGAAAACAATGTTACATTTTTTTTCTCTCTAAGAAGGAAACACATAAACAGAAATCACGTCGTTTCTTTAAATCTGTATTTCCAACACTACCCAAATATATTTATAGTAGTATCTTTTTTTTTTAAAGCTGAAATTGTTTCTTCAGAAAAGACTGCAAGTTTATGACAGCAGCTACTCAGTTAGGATTTAAAAGTCTTGCTGAGACCAGAATCTGTCTTAGAAATAATTACCTGGAAGCTTTAGCTCTTACAGAGCTTTTAGCACTAGAGACTGTGAGGTAAGGATATTTATATGGGTTTAATATATAGTCTTTTAAATCAAGTCATAATTTATGATGCTGGAACACATTCAAGAATGTGCTAGCTAAATTTAGGTTTTGGTTCTGCTTTATTTTATTGTACAGTGCTTATTTTTTTATTTAAAAAAAGTTTCTGTATCGGCTTTAATGTATGAAGAATCTAAGTATTGTATATGATAAACGCTTCTTCCTAATTAAAGCCATATTAATATTAAGAAAAACACACTGCCATCTCAAGGAACCTGAAAATGTATACTCCTTAGAGTTTCTAAATTTGCTATGACTGTGTAATGTAGTAGTGTAGTCAGAGCTATACATTTCTGTGACTCAGCTGCATCCACAATAAACTCAGCTATGTTTTACAAATATTACTGTCTCAAAAGTGTCCCAGTGGGTGAGTTATATCTGATTAACCAGTCTTCTGATTAACCAGTCTTCTTCTAGACGACTACCATATTTCTACTGTGAAAGAGTGAATCAATTGATTGTTAGGCAAGGTAATATATATGATAGATGGGAAAGGGATAAAAGAAAGACAGAAAAATAACTCCATATATAGAATGCTTTTAAAAGCAGATTTGTCTCCTGCACGCTCATCAACGGAAAATATTAGCAAAGACCTGCTCTCTAAAAATGTTTTAAATTAAATATTAGAATTCTGTATTATATTTTAATGATTTAAGGAGAAATCTATCCTCCACCTGTCCTTGCTTAAAGTTCACACTTTTTGAACACTACATCATTAAAGATGAAAATTATATTCTTTAATGAGTCTGTGGGTTACTGTAAGCCCAAATCCTTTTAACAAATTTTCTTCTCGTTATGCAAACGGGCGATGACTAAAAAAAGGCAGATAATTGAAATTAACAGATCCAGTTTCTTTTCCTAAAAAAACTGAAATATGATTAAAATAATATGGAAGAATGCCAATTAATTGAAAAATAATTGCTTATTTTTGTTTGTTCACATTGAAAAACACTCTCTTTTTTGGAAATTCAAAAGAAGAAAAAAACCTCAGGTGGGAGGCATTGAATTCTCAAAGAGAAAACTTCAAAATATATTTTGATTTCTCAAAATGAAAAAATCAAAATATAATGTATGTCACAGTGGCAAAACATGATAAAATAGTCTATAAATATAGTCATTAAATGGCATGAAATCCAGAAAAAAACCCAAATTACCTGTATATGCCAAACTTGTAAGGAATCCAACTAAAAATTAAAAAATGCAAAATCAGAGAATGTAAATATTTCAAGGTGTTAAGACTTTTTACTCCCTATCACAGAAGGTGTAGGCAAACCCAGTGTCTGAGTTATTTAAACTACAGCAAAGATTCATAAATTGAGACATATGGCCAATAGCAAAGTACTTTGTAGAGGTATTATGAAACTTCTGATGCACAACACACAGCAGAATACTTTCTTTGCCAGAAAGATCCATATTGTTATTTTCATATTGCAGACAGGTAAAGAGGTAGAAGGAGGCTAATTTTGCCCCACATCACAATCTGCATTGATGTCAGAGAGCAGAACAGAACCCAGACACACACCCCTGGGGTGGCAAGCAAAGCTGTATGTAGGTCACGTGAGAGTTCCCTTATTTTTAGGCGACAGAGGGATCTGTCCAGACTCACCATGTCTTTCAATAATGCACTGATCAGAGAATCACAGAATCATAGAATGGTTTAGGTTGGAAGGGACCTTAAAGATCATCCAGTTCCACCCTCCCTGCCATAAGCAGGCACAGCTCCCACTAGACCACATTGCTCAAAGCCCCATCCAACCTGGCCTTGAACACTTCCAGGGATGAGGCCTCCACAACTTCCCTGAGTGACCTGTTCCAGTGCCTCACCACCCTCAGAGTAAAGAATTTCTTCCTAATATCTAATCTAAATCTACCCTCTTCCAGTTTGAAGCCATTACCCCTCATCCTATCACTACATGCCTTTGTAAAAAGTCCCTCTCCAGCCTTCTTGTAGCCCCTCTTCAGATACTGGAAAGCTGCTATAAGGTGTCCCCAGCGTCTTCTCCAGGCTGAACAACCCCAGTTCTCTCAGCCTGTCTTCAGAGGAGAGGTGCTCCAGCCCTCTGATCATCTTCATGGCCCTCCTCTGGAACCACTCCAACAGGTCCATGTCCTTCTTGTGTTAGGGGCTCCAAAGCTGGACGCAGTGCTCCGGGTGGGGTCTCATGAGAGCAAAGTAGATGGCCAGAATCCTCCCTTGACCTGCTGGCCACACTTCTTTTCATGCAGCCCGGGATACAGTTGGCTTTCTGGGCTCCAAGTGCGTGTTGCTTGCTCACGTTGAGTTTCTCATCAACCGACACTCCCAAATCCTTCTCCTCAGGGCTGCTCTCCATCCATTCTCTGCCCAGCCTGTATTTGTGCATGGGATTGCCCCGATCCATGTGCAAGCCCTTGCACTTGGCCTTGTTGAACTTCATGAGGTTTGCACAGGCCCACCTCACAAGCCTGTCCAGGTCCCTCTGGATGGCATCCTTTCCCTCCAGCGTGTCGACTGCACCACACAGCTTGGTGTCATCAGCAAACTTGCTGAGGGTGCACTTGATCTCAACATCCATGTCACCAACAAAGATGTTAAACAGCACAGGTACCAGTACGAGGCCCTGAGGAACATCACTTGCCGCTGCCCTCTCCTTGGACATCGAGCCATTGACCGCAACTCTTTGAGTGTAACTGTCCAGCCAATTCCTTATCCACTGAGTGGTCCATCAGTCAAATCCATATCTCTCCAATTTAGAGACTAGGACATCTTGCGGAACAGTGTCAAATGCTTTGCACAAGTCCAGGTAGATGACATCAGTTGCCCTCCCCTTATCCAGCACTGCTGTAACCCCACCGTAGAACGCCACCAGATTTGTCAGTCACAGTTTGACCTTAGTGAGGCTGTGTTGGCTGGCACCAACGACCTCCTTATTTTCCACGTGCCTTAGCTGAGTTTCTAGGAGGATCTGCTCCATGATCTTGCCAGACACAGCAGTGAGACTGATTGGCCTGTAATTCCCCACGTCTTCTTTTTTACCCTTTTTAAAAAGGGGGGTTATGTTTCCCCTTTTCAAGTCAGTGGGAATTTCACTTGACTGTCACAACTTCTCAAATATGATGGATAGTGGCTTGGCAACTTCATCTGCCGGTTCCCTTAGGATCCGCAGATGAATCTCATCAGATCCCATGGACTTGTGCACCTTCAGATTTCTCAGCTGGTCTCAGACCTGGTCTTCTCCTACAGTGAGCAGTACCTCATTCTCCCAGTATCTTAAAACTCACTTGTGGCCTATGATTACCTATAGCCAGCCAAGAATAGCTGGGAAAAGGGCTGTGAGGGTGCCTATTGTACCATGTGCTTGTCAATGGAAAACTTGTGTTCTAAGTAAGTTCTGTGTGGTCATTATGGGAATGTAAAATTCCTTTTGATACTAATTTTTGGGCAAATTATTGCATTTAGTATTACATTTGCTGTAACAAATACCAGATCAGAAAAGCCTTAACTCCTTTCACTTGC